GTAAAGAACTTCTGTTGTAAATGATTACCATGTTTGGTTCTGAACACATACACCCAAACTGTTAAATACATAATCACATGTGAATAAACATTTTCATGCTAACAAGTACAGTATACACATATTCATGATAGGTTATACAGAGAAAACCTTATAACCATGATAACTCATGTGCAGGCACATGTATCTATGCAACAGAACATACACACATACATATATAATCATTGTCTTATACATAAATTGCATATTTCTCTGCTATACATACTAGCCAGAGCATATCCATTCTTCAGATGCCATTATGGTGTAACTCAAAATTCTACAATTCACTCTCACTACTCAGAACACAACAGTTTTAAAGATTACTTCTGGCTTCAGGTTTCTCAATTCTCCCAGGAAAGAGAGACATATGAACAACTAGAGTTTTGACAGGTGATCAAGAGTCTGTCCAGAAGAAAAGCAGAGCAGATATGTGAAAGGAAGGATCTTCAAGAAGACAGGATACAAAGCAGAGCCAGTTCCATTACACCCACTTTATTCAGTAGCAAGCATATGACAAAATAGCTCTGTACCTGAACTTTAACATCCTTCTTAGTTCCTGTTGCTCCATTAAACATTTTCACTGTTGTCTTGTGAGTTATAATACAACATACAACATGCAGAAAACTTGAATTAAGGAGAAGATAGTAATAAATTTCTCACTCAAAGTGACAGGCATAGGAAGTATCAAGAACAATATTTTAATAGCATGGTACATAGCAGCAACACAATGCTATCTTGTTTGATTTTTTTTTTTTTTGCTTTATGCTTTTGTGTTTCTGGCTTCTGGAGTTTGAGAGGAGCTTATCTGGCATGTCATTATCATATCATAAATAATTTTCATTTTCAGTTCTATTTCTATGACCTCCTCTAAGATACTATGTGACATTTTTTGTGGAGTAAGGAACATAAGGAAGAATGGTATGCTTCTAAGTAAGAATGGCTTGTTTCTATTTACCTACTATTTTAGAACTGTATTGTTTAAAGCATTTTGATGAGGCTTATCTATGTGGGAAATTGTTTATTTAAAGCACTGTTTAATTTATCACATGACTTTCTAACCTCTTTTTATTCTGTTGTATCATTACAATCCTTCTTTTTAAATTTTAGTGAACAATGAAAGGCATGATATATCACATACAAAATCTAATCCTCAAAACTCTATCCTTTGAGACGCTGGACTGACTGCTGGCTTATACAAAACAAACAAACAAAAAATAAACAACAACAAAACAAGATGCCAAGACAAAAAGCTATATACAAATCACATGACCATCTACTTCTTTGTCTGCCACAATATTATTCAGTATTTGCTTTTTGCTCTGATATACTCATTTTTGTGTGCAAGGGTCCTGGTGCACTTCATTTGTAATCTAGCTGAACAGAAAGCAAGAATGTGATGCTACAACTTACGGGCTCTGCCACGGGTCCTGTTTATGTACTGGAGACACTGGTTATGTACTGGTAACACTGGGCTTCAAATGAATTTCTTTTAGTACATACAGAATCATTTTTCTGCTGAATAATTTGTATTACCTCCCAAAGTATTAGAAAATATGGTCTCCATATTTTAAGTGAGCATTACTGTTGAATTCAGAATAAAGGATCTGAGGCTCTTTGAAATGCAGTTCAATCCAGTGAGAACTCTAATTTTGCTGGTTGAGGTAATTTTCATGACTTTAATGGTGTGAATTGAATAGCAATTTACATCACAGAACATGCTGTGATATTGTGATACTCATTGTCTTCACACAATTTCTTCTTACATGTATTACCATTCTTTGGTAAATAAATACTGATTATTTTGATCAACAGAGCCACTGTTGTTTCCTATAATATTAACAACAACAGCAATGTCATGTGTGCAAACGATTCATGAAAGGCAACAGAAATTCTAAGGGCAATATTTCCAATTTTAGACTAAATAAGAAATTTTATCATATCATAAATATTTTTCATAAATATTTGAATCTTATGTATGTTGTTTTAAGAAGAATTTTGGCTGAATATCAAAAAAAGACCTCTAAAATTTCATGTAAAATAAATTTTATTGTACATCAAAACACAAATGTTTATATTTTTGTGCCCAATTCATTAAAAAATTATGACTTAATCAAGAGATAATAAAAGGACAAGAAATGTCACCTTACAAAAAAATACATGTCTGATTTGATAGTTTTATTGATAACCCCTTATGTCTCATTCTACTAAATTTATTTAAATGAGTATTTATTCTGCAGTCAGTAATTTCAAAGATATAGTCATCACTCTCCAGGGCACATAGCCTACTGTGGACAAAAGGACAAACAAATCGATTTTGATATATGAATTCTATTATTTGCTATAGAGAAGTGTGACAAATGTTCAACACAGAGAAAGAAAAGAATCTCCAAATGCTTATGGACAGTGGTCCTGTTTGCAGCAAATCTTAAGGAATTTGGGTGGTTGTCAATTTTACCTACTTATGACACATTTTCATGACCATCTATACCATTCAATTTCCTCTGACAGTATTACTACTCTCTGTGCCTCTTGCAGAACATTTTTTCATTCCTTAATTTCTTGATTCAAATGGGAATTATTCTTTTGTATGTCTGCCAGAAGTGTAATTAAGGAAAGCTTCTCTCTGTTCTATTTTAAAATTTTATTCTAAAAGCAATGTTTCGAGGATCTATTAAATAAATTATGATACACCCAAAGATCATCTAATGCAAGTCATTAGAAGAGGAAATGGACACTGTTGATTTAGATGGAGATCTAAATTAAAAGAGGAAAAAACTCAGAACTGTTCTAACAGTATAAAAGTATCACTTGCCTTTATTAATATTGTTGTTTACACACATGAAGAAAGACTGAAACAACCAAATATTAGTAAGATAACTTTTAGGGAAATATCCCCTATTATATAGAATAATTCTCTATTTTATAATTAAATAATTCACATAACAAAGGCTTATATTATAGGTGCAAAGTACGCATAATCTATTTTTCAAAAAATAGATTTTTTGGGAGGGGGTTGTTTTTTTGAGACAGGATTTCTCTGTGTAGCCCTGGCTGTCCTGGACTCACTCCGTAGACTAGGCTAGCCTCGAACTCTCGAACTCAGAAATCTGCCTGCCTCTGCCTCCCAAGTGCTGGGATTAAAGGCGTGCGCCACCACCGCCCGGCTTAAAAAATAGATTTTTTAAAAATCTAGTTCACCATACTAAATATTAAAAATAACAATTGCTTTTTCTTAGTTTACAGAGAAAATTGATTTTTATATATTACTGCTTGATAATTCAGAAAATATTCATAATAATAGTTAAATTATCTATAGTCATAAACGATTCTTTGTTATAGCTGGGAATTGAACCCACAGCCATGTGCATGCATGAAAAATACTTGACTACTGAATTACCTCAGCCTCCTATTCAAGTTCTAGAATAATAAAATTCCAATGAAGGTATAATTTAAAAGCTCACATAATTGCAGAATTTTTAGTTTCTGAGATTTAAAGCACAAAAGTAGCCTTTAGTCAATTAGCAGCAAGACTTAGATACTTATTTTTTTTCAACATATCCAAAACATCAGCAATTCACTTGAAGATTAAAGCCAATGAGTGTAACAATCTGAATCGAGAGTTTTTTAATACAACAGACAACACATATATAAAGTCTGAGTGGAACCGTAAAAGCTGGCTACTCATCAGAAACAATACAACGTGTATTCTACAGAGATGCCTATAGACTAGACCTACATACAACAGCTAGAAAGAGAGAGCTCTGCAGCTGCCATAACCGTATGCAAACTGCCTCAGCATGGCTTACACATGGTGTACTCCATTAACCCTTCAGATGGTTTTGTCAGGGGCTGCACGTGATACTTTGGGATGAACTCCTCCATCATTCATTGAGAACACCAGAAAAATCAGCACGGTATTTCCACAAGGCCATCAGAAGTCATTTTACAGGCCTCAACCTCTTTTTGTTTAAGTTGATCTTCACTTCAATTGCCAAGAATTCTTTTACCACATGTACTTTACAGATCGGGAAACATCATCCTCTAGGCCACGATTTGGAGGCTACAAATCTTAGAGAAACAACATAACAAAGCTAACCAATCATTAAACCAGGTCTAAAGAAGCACAGCCTACCTTCCCATTTTAACAGGGACACTCTGACCCCGTGGTGCACTGTTAATTTTTATGTTACTCTTTTGGTTTTATCCAAGGTCTGTGATCTGTGCTGTTCTGCTCTTTTAGGCAAGAAGCAGTCTGTCCCGAGTTAGAAACGAGGTCCTACAGTGTGGGAGCAGGGATTGACCTACATCTGAGCAATCTGCATATGATTCACCACAATTAACCAATTTGGTTTGAAATAGCTACAATTAAGTTATTAACAGAGAAGTATTTACTAGACTAGAAACTCTAAATTTATCTGCATGTACGCTCTAAGCAAGCAAAGGGCTGCATTTTCAGGACATGTAAGCAAAAAAAAAATCCGTTCAAATTAACATTATATTGTGAAATTATTCACAACTAGTGTTTGCTATAAGTTTGTGCTATTCCCTTAAAATGTTTAGGTGTAGAATGACAAAAAATATATACGATCACTGTGCATAAGATATACTCAGTATCTACATATCATCTGTCTGTCTGTCTATCTATCATCTATCAGTACACATGTGAAAGTTCCTGATATTTGAAAATTGTATTTAGTATGCCAAGTTACTATAAAATCATGGAGAAAGTAATATAGGAAATGCTGGCTTAAATAAAGCATAATGATGTCCCCAGTAAGACATGGGTTAGAACATATTCGGACTGACAAACATTGATTGTGCAGATTCAAGTTTAGCAGTTCAGTAGAGATAATCGATCATAATACATCGCCGACAATGGGCACTATCAATTCTATCTATACCTAATGATGACAGAATATTTTGCGACGATGAAAACTAATTTATGATCAAAAATTTTTTCCTACCTTTATAGTTGAGTAAAACGTTGTCTGAGTGACCATTAAGGATAACCTGGGAAAGAAATGGACAATAGATGACGTGGGGGGAAATACAAGAGTCAGATAGCTTTAAAGTCAGTATCAACATTTAAAATTAGTATTCAATAAGCTGGATACCCAGACACTGTTTCAAGGCATCCTTGGTCCCCACTTCACATACTTATGATAGCAATGCTGGTGACAAAGGGGGCAGGCATGTTATAACAAAAGTATCCTATGTGGACTGAGCTTGTTTGTGCTTCACAGGGTATCTGCAGTCATTAAGACTCTTAGCTGTTCATCGCTACTAGCCAATTTCGAAACTTCACTGTTGACATCCTGGAAGGATGACAAGCAAAATTGAAAATCATGGCATACAGATAAAATGAAGCAAAATAACTATAATAATACAATTAAAAACTAAAGAACTCCAGATTTGGAGCTAGAGAGGTGGTTCACTGGGTAAGACCGTTTGTTTTCTAAAAGGCCCAGGCTCAGTTCTCACCAAACCACAGAGTGGTTCACAATTATTTGTAACTCTCATTCTAGGAGATTTGATGCCCTCTTCAGATCTCCCTGGACAACAAGAATATGATACACATGCATACATGAAGGCAAAATACACACATAAAATTTAAAAACCTAAAAAAACCTAAAGATTCACTGACATATAACTTTTTATATTACTGAAAATATAGGGGTCAAGAAAGCCATTATTCTTAAGATATGATAGAAGTTCTTCCCAGGGTGATTCAAGTTCTGAATTTTTGACACTGAATAAAGTCTCAACTAACCTGGACCCCTGAGATCCTGACATTGAGTCACCAACCAGGCAGCATACACCAGCTGATATGAGGCCCGACACATATATAGCAGAGGACTGCCTGGTCTGGCCTCAGTGAGAGAAGATGCACCTAACCCTTAAGAGATTTGAGGCCACAGGAAGTGGGGAGGTGTCATGGGTGGAGTGGGGTGGTGACATCCCCTTGGAGACAGGGTAGAAGGAATGGGATGAGGAATTGTCAGAGGGTAGACCGAGAGAGGGATAATGACTGGATTGTAAAAAAAAGATTAAAGAATAATAATAAATAAAAACAAAACAAAACCCCCTCAAATGTTGACAGATAATCAAAGAAATCTTTCAGCTAGTTCATGGCAGAACTCAGAGTAGCCTTTTAACTTTCTGGTTTCAAAATATTTCCGCAGCACTAGGTTATTCAATTTACTGTGCCTCCTATGTCACACGAGAAGTAGAGAAAGTGGAATAATTTAGTCTCTTTCTGAGAACTTTATATTTTGGCCTGAATTGGTGATCTGTGTCAGCAATGTGTACTGTATCTAATTCCTTAAAAATATTCCTTTGTGGGGCTGGAGAGATGGCTCAGAGGTTAAGAGCACTGGCTGTTCTTTGAAAGGACCCAAGTTCAAATTTCAGGACCCATATGGCTGACTGTAATTCCATTTCTTTGTGAGTTGTATTTGACACCTCACATAGACAACATCAATGTTAAATAAATGAACAAAAAAAGTTGATTAAAAAAAAGAAGAAGAAAAATCTCTTTGTGAGGAGATCGTATCATCTAGCAGATTTTTGGTTATAAACTTCCTAGAAAGCATTGGAAAGAATAAGGGTGAAAATACGCAAAAAGCTGGCAAAGCTCATCAGTAACACCACTAGCTGAGTGTGCAAGAAACTACCCAGTAATCCTAGATATAGAATTTGCTTCCTGGCTGACTTTAAACAAGGCAACTGTAGTGTTTGATCTTTAACACATGCTTCTCCAATCTAAACTGATCTCGAGATTGCCGGTAATATTGGAGTTATGACTTTGCCCTCTGGTTCATGGATAGACACTTTTACAAATACATAACTATCTGTTAACTATAATTGATAACAATTTTCAAAACAATCCACAAATTATTTATTGTGACTATAATACTCCTGAGATAATTCCTGGACTAGTTTGTTTTTCTAAGAAACACTATGTTCTCTGTGTGATCAGCGAAAAAATAGATTCTTGCCTCTAAACTATCTTGACTTAAAATTCTTAGAGACTTAAGACTTCTGAGCAAACCATAACTGTAAGAAGGTGTTTCTGTTGCAAACTCAGAAACTGCTTGTGTGCACCACTTGGGAGCTTCAGAGCATCCTGACATGCATCCTCCCTGTTAATTCATATTTCTTTTGCAAAGTGCCCAAAGATGAACTTTGTAAGTTTAAAAGTTATATCAGATATGAGAAAAGATATTCAACAGAAAGCTTTAAGGAGAGATTGAAATAACTTACAAATGTGTGCAGTTGATGAGGCTAATGCCTCTAATGGTGTAGAGCACTGCTTAATACTAAGGTAAATTTGCCAGATTATGTTACAACATTTTTGTTTGCATTTTTTTCTTGAATCATTAAAAAATAATGCTAGCAAGACAATGTGTTTATTGTCTTGAGTGTTGCTTGACAATTTGCATCTATTGTATTGCTAGTCCCTCAACCTAGAACTGACTTGCATGTAATTAAAATGGTATAAAAACAAAAAGGAGCAGGGGGGATGGGATGGAGAGTTCTAGGGAGGGGAAATGGGGAAAGGGGATGACATCTGAAATGTAAATAAATAAAATATCCAATAAAAAAAGAAATAATGCTAGCACACATATATTGATGCCTATGCTTAAATAATTGAACTCAATCATATTTAAGTAAAATAAAGTCACAGAAGGAATCACAAGAAATTATGTTTTCTGAAACACCAGTAATACATAATATTTAAAATGCAGCCATATTATTAGTATAAAACATATCCTCTCAGAACTAACATTTTCAGATATAAAAATTTATACAGTGCTCATTTACACATTCTTGTGCATACAATTATGTTTATACCTCCAAATATGCTTAACATATCAGGAATGTATCCTTCTAATCGATTATTCAGTTTATGTTCTCAAATGTTTTTGACTCTAACGTTCCTTTTTTTACCTCCCAAATCAAGATCATGATAAATAAGCACACCTGTAACTTTCAAAATACCAAATGTGTTGCAAAGGACTTATGTTTAAGAATATCTCAATGAGCAGCCTTTGTCTCTGGATGCTACAGTTAAATATATTAGTTACGATTACTAAATTCTATTTCTAGTTAATGGATTTTATGGCAAAATTTTTCTTCATTTGGTATGAAAGAATTTGCAGAGCTAATGGAAGCGAAGAGGAGATAAAACTTTTTTTAATCATAAATGACTTAAAGACTGTGTTCACTTCTCTTGCCTTCTAATGAAGAGAACATTTAGTAAGATATCATGAAAACTATTAAAGCCTTCCTACCTATCATACGAGGCTTTAGAAAGAAAATTCACCATTTTGAATAATGTGTTCCAGATTCCATTTCTAAAGATCCCAGTTCTTTTGTGACTATAAAAAGTCACAAGTTTACATTCTACAAAAGCAGGATACTCACAGCATTTGTGAGAGTAAGGGTGACTCTTATCCCCTTTCTCTCAAAGTTTGTATGAGCAAGCAGCTTTGGAGGTCTACCCTCCACATCGCTGTCCAAAAGAAACTTGCTCTTTATTATGATACACAGCAAATTATGATTAATAAATTTATGGAAATCTGTATGCTAAAACTAACATCAACAACCAACAGAGATAGAAACTTTGACTGATTAGATAAGATCCTTTGACTTTATAGTTAGATAATGAATGAAAACAAAACGCATGTAGCACATTTTCAATAAAATGTAATACTATTATTTATACCTTATGTTCTCTTCATTTTCTGCAAGGCTTAATTTTATATTGTGCAAATAAGGACAATGAAAACCCCTCATCTATTTAGTATTAAGTATAGTGGTTAGCATAGAGGCCTTCTGAATCTTCTTTAGAAATCAAATCAAGTATTGTCTAACGGCAGAGTGTGCTTCAATTAAAACATTTTCTATGTAGTCATCAAAGAATAAATTCACTTTCTTTTCCATTATTAACCAGGCATATTGTTCTTTATGAGAATTTTTGCTTTACCCAAGCCATTTGCACAATACATTTCCATTTCTGTGATTTGAATTCTACAATATGAATCTAAGCTCAGAATAGGGTCAAGGTTATTCTTAGACTATTAACTGTGTGTCTATAGTATTTACTTCAGGATGCTGTGACTTTTAATGACATAAAAGTTGACACTATTGAAAGGTCTATGAGCAAAGCTCTGGCAACATTACTGTATAACTATTTTCATTTCTCCTTCTTAACTAAATGCATGGCTTAGGTCATTATAAGGACATGTGACTTTCAAAAGCTGCACCTTCTTGTCTGGTGATGGAGTGGTTTGGAAATACCATGGCTACAACAATAATTTCATGTTCAAGGAATTTGAAAAAACCTTTTCCCCACCAAAAAAAACAAAAACAAAAACAAAAAAACCTCTATTTGAGCAAGTCATATGACTGGATTTCTTCAGCACAGATTGATCTCAATTGATCACGTTTTTTTTTTTTTTTTTTTTTTTTTTCCAAAGTGACAGCTGGAACATGGCCAATAGGATGGTTTCAGAAGTATTCTTAAACAACTTGCAGGGGCCAGCTGAGGTCTTGTCAGCTGATCTGAGACTAGAAATGACAGCATCCCAAGGACAAATTGTCAGATTGTCATGTTCAATACTTCTCTGGAATAGAAATCTCCATCCAAGTAAAATGTGCTATATTTTAACACTGTAGATATCCAGGAAGTGTAATGTACAAGTCTGCTAACCTTATAGACAACAGAGTAAGTTTAATACAATTTGCTAAAATCACATATACGCATAATCTTTTAAAATACATACTTTTAAAATTTTGAGTGCAATTAATGAATCATCACTAAAATGTATCCCATCTTTCATTTTTAAAAAGCAAAATAATAATCTTTATTTAGAAAATTACATCAAAAATAATGATTTCTAGCTTTTAATGAAATTTATATACTACTCAATATAATTAAAAATAAATAAATCTCCATGATAAATGGTATTTAGAGATATAAAAGAAGGCAGGAAAATGAATA